ACTGTTTTTAAAATTTTTTTTTTTTAAAAATTAAAAAAAAAAAAAAAAAAAAAAAAAACCATATGTCGTGCTTAGTAGAGTTTTAGATCTATGAATTGATAATAGAGTTGTATTTTGAGTTTGTGAGTTTTAGAATTATAATTTGAATAGAGAAAATTTGTTTGGTTATGAATTTTGAAAAGGTTTTTGAATTGAGTTTTGAATTTTTGATATGACATATGAATTGAGAAAATTTGTTTAGTTATGAGTTTTGAAAAAAAAATTCAGAACTTAATTCAAAAAGTTATAACTCATAACTAAATGCACAATTCAAAACTCTATTGCAAATTCTATTTAAAACTCATAACCAAACTCTTTTTAACATTCAATTCAAAAAAATAATTTGTTATTTTTGTGTAAAAAAAATAAATTCGATATTTAAAAAATATCAAAACAAATATAATTTTTTTTTCCAAATAACAGGTGGCGACTGGCAATTGTAAAAATAAATAAATAAATAATAAAATAAAATTACATGGTTCCGGTCAACCGGCCGGACGTTCGAGGGAACGTCTGGGAGGATGACCGAATAGACACAAAATTCAAAAACTCCCATGCTTTTCAAAATGGAGAAGACGAAAGAGAGAGATATGCCAAACATGAAAGAGAAATATATTTTGAAATGTGTGGTGAAATCACATTTTCAAAATTGTATCCAAACGGAGTGTGCATATGGAGGGGTAGAATTATGATTTGAGAGTTTCACCAAACACAGCCGTAAAAGTTACCAAACGCCATCTTAAATTACCGAAACTATAGTTATCTATTGCTTTCTAATGATTGATTTTTTGTTGAAAAAAAATCCCTCATTCCAATAATGAATACAGTGTTAACTATAAAAAAACACTTTAATACACAATTAATACTTGGGATGAAATTAACAGAATATTTGGCACATTGACAAGTTGTATTTTAGCCCAAAAAGTTTGGCTACACTTTTATCATTCAAAAACTGGTGCATGGAGAATTACAGATTTCAAAACTACATATTATTTATCAGACAAGCTGAGCAAATAGTCACCATAATGGCTTCACAAACTTTATTATACATTTTACTAGTTAACCAATACTTCCATAGCATACATATATTTATATGCCCTTTGTTTGGTCAGGGATTCTCTATTTCACAAATTTTCTACTTCTCGATCTTAATTCACTCACAGTCGTCAGATCTTGTGAGAATCTTGAGATATAAGAATCTTCAGACATGATCAAATTAAACGACTGCAAATTAGTTAAGACAAGAGAACATAGTTTTTAAGACACAGAATCCTCAGCGGCTTTGTCTTGGGCCTTGAGGAGGTAAGCCTCTATATCCTTACTGACATTAGCCACAAAGTCCAGGTACATGGTTGGAGGTGGAGTATCCTCATGTTGCTTCTCATAAGCCAAAGTCAATTTTATCAAACATGCATCATCCTTGTTTGTAACTTGCAGTGTGGCCTTAAAGGTCTTGTAAACCTTCAAGACATCTCCTTCAAAGAAGTTGAAAGTAACTGACTTGTTATCCACATCAATGGCTTCAATTCTCTCCTTGCCAGATTCAGAACCCCCTATCAACGGTATACAAGAAAAGAGTGATCATTAGTGACATAATAACGGCTTAAAGTTTTTTTGGCCTTAGATTAAAAATAAGAAATTAGAGATTTTGAAAAATAAGAACCCTGACAATAAATTTTGGGTAAATTATGCAAATGATCCCTGTAGTTTACATGATGTGTCAATTTGGTTCATATTGTTTCAATTTGCTCGATTTTAACCCTTAATTTAATAGATTGTGTCATTTTAATTCAATAAATAACGGTTGTTAAGTTTGTGAACGGAAAGTCTACGCATAGTTTGAAAAACTTGAAAAAGACACTCGAAAAATTGTTCCATGTAGTTCACTATGAAATAAATTAGACACAGAGAGAGACAGTTGCAAACAAATTACCAGAACATTCAATTTGAACAGATAGAGATGGATCTAAATATTTGAGTAGTTTGGTTATTTTGTATAAACATAGCTTTATGCACATACTATTTTTGCGCGTGAATTGTTAGACAAAAAAAATTCAAATTTAGATTTATGACTGACCACCTAAATGAAATTCATCTCATAATTATACATATTTATTTTTTAAAAAATAATGATTTTTTTTTTTTAAATCGAACTTGTCATCCAGTTATTTAAAAACATATACTATGCAATTATGTGATAATAATTATTTAATTAATCAAATTATTGATATTAATGATTTATACACAAACACTTGACCAAAATTGGCCTTGTAACTAATCTATTGAATCGAATTAAAATGATCTACTCCTCTCTTCCAACTAGAGAATCTAACATTTTCACAAGTTGTCCAACCTTGGTAACTTAGAAATTCTCTTAGGCCTTATTTGGGTCTTGTATTAATGGTGGTTAAAGGGGAAAAAAAAGGTTTTTTTTTTTCCTATTTTAGGTTGTTCTTTTTACTTTGCCCCTCTAAAATCAAAATACAATTTTAATGAAATTTTCATAAGTATTGATTACTCATATGTAATGTGGACTTCCACTTCTAATCCCAACAAGTCTAAATAATTGTGACCCATACGAGGTTCCCTAATTTTATGTTTACTTTCTGCGGTATTCGTTAACCCTCAAGTCTAGTGCTTGAATCTAGTTTTTCCTTTTCCTCTTTTTTTTTTTTTTCTTTTTTTTTTTTAAAGTATATATATATATAGTGTTCACCATTACCTATCACCAAATAATCATATTGTTCGGCAAAGAACATGGCATCATTTTTAAATTTTTGTCATGATTCAACTTTTACTTTTAGCAGTATAAATAAATTCGGATATGCAAAATTTTCACAACAAAGTGGCATAGCATTTTTGTCACATGTCCTTTTTAGATTTATACACCATAGATTTGGCTATATATATCTATCCCTTCTAATTGTCTTTCTCATTGGTTCTGGAGTGATTTTTATTCTATTTGGTTATTTTCAGTTCTTAGATTTTTAGTAAGAATTTGTAATATATATATATATATATATATATAAAATAAACTACCCCATTGTAGTCTATTGTTTTTGGAGGTAGTATTTTGTGAGTGATTATTCAGTACTCCCGGAGTATGGACACGTGGTACTCCGTAATGTTTTGATTGGTGGAGAGACACAAGGGCCCACGATTTATGTTGGAGATGGGGGGACAACATGGGGCTAACTAATTGGTGATTGGTTTGGAATATGGACACGTGGTGCTCCGGGAGTATTGAATAATTTCCCGTATTTTGTAGTCTAACAATAAATAACTAATTTTGGCCAAGAAAAAAAGCATTGTCGAAAAGTTCTAAGAAATAAACTAATTAAAACAAACAGGAAGGGGAATTTAAGATAAATAAAACTAAATAACGTCTAAACTGTGAAAAGCCACACAATCCTAGGATCACCAATCACTACAAGTTTTAGGAATCAAGCTTTTTTTTGTTTATAGAAGTAAAAATTTTGTTTAAAAAAATATTAAAAGATCAATTTCAATGGTTACGTGAGTCGTCATAAGAAGGTCATCTTGAAAAGTTAGAAAATGATTTTCAACAATAAAATTTTTAAAATATTACTAATAAATGTATCATTTAGGAAAAAACAATTCATGCCAAAAGTTTGATTTATTAGATGAAAATTTTTGTTCTAAAAATTCATGCCGAGAGGTTTACTTTTTGAAATAAAAATTTTGGTAAAGAATAATAATTCATTACTAAATCTTTAATTTGTAATAAAAAAAAATTGTCACAATGGCATTTTTAACAATTAAGATATTTCAACTCTAAAAAATATTTGTCTACAATTTTGTCTATAAAATTTTAAATTTTTGTAGTATCACTTTTTTTTTTTATCTCCTTTCAACTTAAGCAATTTGATCTCTACACTTTACGTCTGGTTTCAATTTAGTTCTTTCATTTAAATTAGATGTTAAATTTAACAAGTGTCAGTCTTTCGAAGTGTACAAGCAAAAATAATTCAAACTAATTTGGAGGAAGGACCAAATTGATATTGAACTTAAAATGTACAGATCAAATTATTCAAATGAAAATAACAGGAACCAAAATAAAATTTGAGTCAAGCTACAAGAATGAAAAGTGTAATTTATCCCTTTTTTTTGGGCATACCTGTTGAAACCATCTTACTTTCAAAAATTGTTACATAGTAGTAGTATTTTGTGCTTTGTTTTGTTATTATATCATCTCTATTTTTGAGACTACCCAATACATAATATTTATTACTGAGCAAACACACAATCAGCATAGTATTTTAAAAAGATTGAATAATTACTAATCTAACCTGGTACATAGTTCCAAACCTTGACAGAGCCTATAGTAGCCCAGTCACCTTCAAGAACTTGAACACTCTTTATTTTTTCAGGGCAGATCTTTGGGAAGAGGTAGGATTTAGAGGTAAAGATCTCAAAAAACTTATCAGCTTTGCACTTGACCTCTGTTTGTCCCTCCAACTTAAAAATTTTAGCCATATTTCAATGCTATATCCGCTGCTAAAAAAAATTACTCAGAAAAGGGTAAGGGCAAGATGTGAAAACTAATACTCTAGTCTGAACTTTATATAGAAGAGTAGTGAACAAAAAGCTTTATGGGGATCAAATGGTGTTGATAAGAACAAAATATAGTTGTTTCGGGGCCCATCACTACTCGCCCACGATCTTTTTTTCAGATAAACTTGGTCCCTATACGAACAAAAAAAAATACCATATTTGTTGATGAAGAAATCTAACAAAGAAAATGACTAGATCCGCCACACGATCATTATCTACAAGATAAAGCTCCCTTAGCCATTAAACGGAATGGGGTCCTCCGACGCCCAAGTCAGTCCTCCAATATTATCAAAATATTTATTAATGGAGAAATACATAAAGAGAAATTGCGTACCTCAACCCATAGTGGTGTCGCCTATTTATAATGTCCAGTGACTTATCTAGCAAGTAGTTTGAATATTCCAGAAGTCATATCCTAAACAATCTCCAATTGTTTAGGACTCTTATATCAATAATATTTCATCTCCTTATGAGTTTTGCATAATATAAAACACTAATTCAATATTTGATGAGGATTTGACAACTATCATACACGTGGCAGTGCCAGGACCCACATAATTCCGGTGGTTGTTTTTATCCTCTCTCAATTGCCCCCAAACTTTCATTCTTTTTGAGCCCAATAAAAGAGTAGAATCTTTCTATTATTATTTTGATAAAAATAACCGTATAATGTTGCCTAGCTAGAATGATATCTGGATACTAGAGCTTATTCTAATAATGCCTAATCTTGCTAAAACTTATTCCAAAAATGCCTAACCTTGCTACGACTTATTCCAAGAATTTCTAACTTCGTTAGGACTTATTCTAAAAATGTCTAGCCTTGCTAGAACTTATTCAAAAAATGCCTAGCCTTACTAAGAACTAGCTGGACAAACCACCAACTTGCTTCTTGCCAAGGAAAATCCACTCAGTAAGGAATCATAGAGTTGAACCAACTACTAACTACGTTCTTTAAGAGCAAAATCCGCTCAACAAGGAATCCCAAAGTTGGACAAACCACCAACTTCCTTCTTGGCAAGAAAAAATTCGCCAAGGAAGGAATCTCAGAGTTGGACAAACCACCAACTTGCTTCTTAGCGAACAAAATCCACTCGGCAAGGAATCACAAAGTTGGACAATCATCAACTACCTTTTTGGCAAGCAAAATCCACTCGGCAAAGAATCCTAAGTTGATCAAAATCATCAACTTATATATTAGCAAGCAAAATCCGCTCGGCAAGTAATTCCTAAGTTGATCAAAACCTTTAACTTATATCTTGCTGAGCAAAATTGGCTCAGCAAGGAATTCCTAAGTTGATCAAAACCATCCACTTACCTCTTACCGAGCAAAACCAACTCGGCAAGGAATTCCTAAGTTGATCAAAGCCATATTAATTTACCTCTTGCTGAGCAAAATCTACCCGACAAGGAATTCCTAAGTTGATCAAAACCATCAACTTACCTCTTGCTGAGCAAAATTTGCTCAACAAGGAATTCCTAAGTTGGTCAAAACCACCAACTTACATCTTGTCAAGCAAAATAAACTTGGTAAGGAATTCCTAAGTTGATCAATACCATTATCTTACATCTTATTGATCAAAATCAGCTCAGCAAGAAATTTCTAAGTTGATCAAAACCATCAACTTACCTTTTGCCGAACAAAATCCACTTGGAAAGAAATTCCTAAGTTGATCAATATCGTCAACTTACCTCTAACTGAGCAAGATCTGCTCGGCAATGAATTCCTAAGTTAATCAAAATCATCAACTTACCTGTTGTCGAGCAAAATCCACTCAGTAAGGAATTTCTAAGTTGATCAAAACCATCAACTTACTTCTTACCGAGCAAAATTCGCTTGACAAAGAATCCTAAAATTGAACAAAACCTTCAACTTCTTTCTTGTCGAGCAAAATCAGCTCGATAAGGAATTCCTAACTTGATCAATAGCTTATCTCTTGTTGATCAAAATCCGCTTAGGAAGGAATTCCAAAGTTGATCAAAACCATCAACTTACCTCTTGCCAAATAAAATCCGCTCGGTAAAGAATCCAAAATTTGAGAAAAACCCTAAACTTCCTTCTTGGCGAGCAAAATCAGCTGGGCAAAGAATCTCAAAGTTGAACAAATCCCTCAACTTAGTCCTCGGAGTAAAATCAGCTCGACAAGGAGATAAAATTTTTAACCAAGGGGTAGCGCAATTCATCTTGCCCCCGTGATCCGTAAAGCGTAGACTTCATCTCAATATATTATTCAGACATATTCTAGCTCATCTCATCTACTCCTTTGCCTCCAAATTTTTGGTGTAAACAAGTCACGACAGTTTTTCAAACCATATAACCAAGTTCGGATGCATACGGATTTAACTTCGTTCAACGATTAAACCAAGCTATAGAATGGTCCACCAAGCTACATGAGTTGACCGAGCTATCTCATAAGAAAACATTGTCAAGTTTGTAGACTGGACTGGCTCTTAATTGCTTTGGGAGGCTGTGTATGTAACTTTGTCGCAAAGTTGCCAACAACCAACTGGGCTAAAGTTTTATTATTGGAATTTCAGTCGGGCTAGATTTAACCACAACATACTATAGTAAAGAGGAGAAGCTAATAATGGCGCACCAACACCTCTAAAAACAAGATAATCATGACTTGGTTATCTGGAATGCAGCGATTATATGCCCGGTAGTTGAAATTATTTTATAGCAGTCTTTTATTGCCCTTAAGTTCACAACAATTTGATGCATCGTCCCTTAGTGTGGCAGCGACAAACTCCTTGCCCAAAACAAGCTTCAGCTATCCTTTGCATGCTTGGTGAATAAACTATTTGTGCACCCTCATAATCATTTTTGCTTGGGGCATTTTTTGTTCTTGCTTGGATTACGACTAAAGACCAAATGATTAATCTACAGAATTGTCGAGCTTTCTCTTTGCCATGTCTTCATCTAGTTGTTTGGTGTGAATTCGTTGCTCATCAGTGGCGTTGAGGCTACCCAGTATCGTCGTTGTGCAGTCAAGTTTTGCATGGTCGGTTGTTCAGTCCTTTAGATCAGTTCCGAAAATATGTCAAGCTTGAAACCATAGTTCTATGGGTTGAGGGACGTTGTTCTATTTTGCCCAGCAATTCTATTTTGTCGAGCAATAAAAATACCGTTCAACATGAATAGCCAAGCTACATGTGAATAAGATCGTGCAAAGTGTTGTGTTGCCAAACTACCATTGACTATTATTGTAAAATTATAGAAACTCTAATAGTGCTGTTACAATATCTAAGAGAGAGAGAGAGAGAGAGAGATAGAGAGAGAGAGAGAGAGAGAGAGAGAGTATTATATTATGTATGTATTCAATATTGTGTAAAATAATAATATAACAATATATACAAGACTCCTTTATATAGGAGGAAAGAAACCTAAGTATGATAATGAATATAATATGATATGTATGATAGACAGAATATATAATCATTATATTTAACCCTCTCCATCAAACTCAAATAGGGATACCAACTTGAGTTTGGAGAGAGAACCTAAAATATAAAATAAAACTAAAACTAAAAAAATAAATTAAAAAGCAAATAGATTGCAAATTCTAAATAGAAGCGCAAGAGCGCTAGAGATAAATCAAAGGTCAGAGCTAATGTCGAGAGACAATTTATGGTTTTGTCGGATAGTTGTAGAATAAGAACGATGTTGAACCAACAAAACGTGGCACACACATAACACATAGTGCTAAATGGTGATGGCAATAGATGAACCATGTGTACCAGAAGGCGGCTTGGAAAGGAACCATGTTCGCCAAGAGGTGGCTTGAAAAGGAGCAAAATGCACCAAGGGGGCAGTTTAGAGAGTGCGCCAAGGAAGACGGCTTAGGGAATTCTCCAAGGGGGTGGCCTAGGGAGTGCGCCAAAGAGGCAGCTTAAGGAGTGTGCCAAGGGGACGGCTTGGGTAGCTTGCATAGTATATAACCATTCTCACCATGATAGAAGTATAATACCGCCCTCAAACTCAAATAAGTTTGACAACAGAAACTTATTTGAGGTTGAAATAGAGGAACAGACAAAGTGGGGCAATAATAAAAAAATAAATAATAATAATAATAATAAAGGATTGCGAGTAAAGTATATATATATATATATAATAGAGATATTTGAGATATGAATAAACTAGCGGATAAAGGAAGAGATCACCATGAAGCAACACTGAAAGGAAAATATGGCAATGGAATATGCTGAGGTCCGGCAGACAGCCAAGGTAAGATTGCCTCTTGTCAAGAAAAGCAAAGAACACCAAGAACTTCATCTATAGCTCTAATATCATGTTACAATATTTAATAGCGAGAGAACATTATATTACATATATATATATATATATATTTAATATTGTGTAGAATAATGATGTAACAATATATACAAAATTCTTTTATATAAAAGAAAAAAAACCTAAATATAATATAATATATATGGCAAATAAAATATATAATTATTATATTTAACCAGGGTTATGCATGGCATGTTTATTTTCCAGCCTTTCAATGCTCTGACATCATTGCACAAATATTAAGCCCACTAAAACAGATAGTGAAAACTAATGTATTGTTTGGAAAGTGTCTGATTAGTATATTTTTTGAATTTTTATAATATATATATATATATGAAATGTGGGGTGAGTTTGAAATGATGTGATAGAGAGGTGATGTAACTTAAATAAGATGATTGTGACCTAAATTTTCTAAAAATAAACAAAAAATAAACAAAAACCAGTTTATAAAATTTTTGTAAATATAAACTAAAAACGTAAACGTTACCAAACACACCTGCATAGCATGTTTATTTTCCAGCCTTTCAATGCTCTGACATCATTGCACAAATATTAAGCCCACTAAAACAGATAGTGAAAACTAATGTATTGTTTGGGAAGTGCCAGATTAGTATACTTTTGAATTTTTATAAAATATTTATATATATATATATATATATATATATGAAATGTGGGGTGAGTTTGAAATGATGTGATAGAGAGGTG